TTGAATGGATTCCCAATCTAAGAAATCAGGTACACTTCCACCCAAATCAGATTTAAATGAACTGTCATGATCATCATAGGCTTCAAATACCTTCTGAAACAGTAATGCAGTATTAAGCATCATATATGTGGAATTCCACCTTGTAGGGACATCTAGACACAGAGAATTCTTAGCTTCCACCCCAATTGGATCAGCTAATGATTTAAACTTCTGCAACCTAGCAGGTGAGCTCCTCACATACCTAACAGCATCCCTGACTTTCTTAACAGAACTGTCACATTCTTTCAACCCATCCTGTACCACCAAGTTAAGAATGTGAGCAATGCACCTCATGTGCAAATACTTACACCTAACAGCAGTACAACCCCAAGAGCCCAACTTCTTCTTCAAGAATCCTAGGGCAGTATCATTGCTGGAAGCATTATCTACTGTCACACTAAACACTGATTTTAGACCCCAGTCCAAAAGGCAACTCTCTAAAGCCTTTGCAATACTTTCCCCCTTGTGGGAATATATAGGAACAAATGAAATAATCTTCTTTTGCAGCTTCCACTCACTATCAATGAAATGTGCAGTTATGCACATGTAGTTTATTCTCTGGACTGAGGTCCAAGTATCAGTTGTGATACTTACCCTCTGACTGCTAGTCCTAAAAAACTTCTTCAAGTTGACCCTCTCATAAGAAAATATCTTGAAAATGTCCCTACTGATAGTCCATCTTGAAGGGATTTTAAACCTAGGACAGCAAACTAAAACAAACTTTCTAAAACCCTGTCCCTCATCAATCATAAAAGGAAGTTCATCTAAAATAATCATCTCAGCTAAGGCTCTCCTTATCAAGTCTTGATCAAACACCCAAGTACCCAACACCCCTTCAGTTCCTTCACTACTTTGAGTTCCAACAGAAGAAGGTGCAGGTTGGAATGTGAGTAGGGACTGCCTTGTCTCCTTAGAGTGAGGATTTTTAAGGCAGTTTACCACATGAAGTCTGAGAGAAGAAGTCCCATGTTTCTTGCTCTCACAGCAATACACTTTTGCACAATATATACATTTTCCTTTGATGACAATGCCCTCACTGTCTTTGATCTTTTCAAAGTGATCCCAACAAGGAGCCCTGGATTCATCCTCTTTCCTTTTCTTTGGAACAGGTGGAGGCAAAGGCTGCTGAGACTGAGGAGTAACAGTCTCTACAGCAGGTGCTTCCAACTCAGGTTGTGTTCCAGATACACCAGTAACAGTCTCTACACCACTAACACTTTCCATCTAAAAAGGGGAAAGTATCAGTGACACAGAATGGGAAATCACTCATTCAAAATCATCAACAGAGAATGGCCTTTGTCACATACACACATGTATCAATTAAAGTGTTAAACAGGCAGAATTCAGTGAATTGAACATTTCATCATGTATGCAGAATTGCACATAAATGATTTAAGGGTCACATATCCATAAACTTACAATTTCACATTTTCACAGTTACAACTTACAACTAAGTAACTAACAACTTACAAATTACAATTTACAATGAAATCCATAATCAGGCATTCAAGCTAAGTAGGTGTATGCTACTTTATATGCTCATCATTTATATGGATTTCAGTTACACACTCCCACATTTATATGGATTTCAGTCACACATGAGTACAAGACACACTCCCACATTTATATATAGCTTCCACACAAATACCATCATGCTTAACATTTATATGGATTTCAGTATTTAACACATAGTGGCAACTGGCAAGGGGCTAGGATAGTATGGCTTCCACCACAGATTAGGTTACAAATTAGAAACCCTAATCAAACAATTCACAAATTCATACTCAAAGAACTACTGACATGCAATCCGGAACTTCTCAACGGATTTACAAGTATCATAGTCTAGTGAGTCCACAGATTAGGTTACAAATTAGAAACCCTAATCAAACAATTCACAAATTCACACTCAAAGAACTACTCACATGCAATCCGGAACTTCTCAACGGATTTACAAGTATCATAGTCCAGTGAGTCCACATATTTACGTTACAAATTAGAAACCCTAATCACACAATTCACAAATTCAAACTCAAAGGACTAGTGACATGCAATCCGGAACTTCTCAACGGATTTACAAGTATCACAGTCCACATAATCATAAAAATTAGAAACCCTAATCAAGAAGACAAATACACAATAATCTATAACGGAAATGTAAATAGGGTTTAGTAATTACTTCGTTTCTCAGATTTAATCCCTCGAGAACAAAGGGCTTCGAATCCACTATTCCACCGTTCCACAGTTCCACCAGACTCCGGTGACCGGACTAGGGTCTAGGGCTTCCACCGTTCCACCACTCCGCCAGTCGCTACTCCGAGTCTCCGAATAGGGCTTCCACTAGACTAACAAACAGAGACGAAGACTCTCAGAGTCTTAGAGAGTAAGACACTAAGAGTCTAAGACTCAAAGTCTCAAAGACCAGAGCGAAAGAGAGAACGAGAGTCGAGAGATGAGAGATTGAGAGAAGTCTAGAAGAGTCAAGAGTGAACTGAGAGCTCGGCTGCGCTCAATGAAATGAGTGATATATATACATACACCAAACGACATCGTATTATATAGCGGAAAAAAACCCTAGGGTTTAGTCGGGTAATCGGACGGGTTCGGGTGGCGTTTAATGCCTCCCACCCGAACCCCTTGCATCCGTCTAATAGCGTAGCCTCGGTTCGGGTTGGGTATTCGGATACGGTTCGCGGCACGGATGCGCCCGTCGGGTTTCGGGTCGGTCGGGTGGGTCGGAATTTTCGGGTTTTGCACACCCCTAAATAGAACAGGTCTTCCCGTGCGGTATATATATAACTTTCTTCAAAAATTATACTCTATTTTGAAAATAGTGGTCAAATTAATCAACAAATGCAAAAATACAAACTAAATTAAAAAAAAAAAAAAAGTACACTTATATTATTAAACATTCTAAAATCATGCAATCAACTCCAAATGACATACAGGTACGATTTAGAAATGGAAGGCAAGAAGCTGGTGACTACTGACTACCTTTGACTATCTGGAAAACCCCTATTTTATCTTTTTAATTCATTGGGCATTTCGTGCATAATTTGATACCATTATACCTCTATTTTATTGGTATAGATATTAAAAATTTTGATAAATTCATGTTCATTATCATCTTTAAACATAATAACAAATGTTAAAGAGAATTGTAAGCAAGATTTCACCCAACTCGAATGTGTTAGGCTCTGTTTGGTAGAGCTTATTTAGGAGCTTATAGCTTATTTTAAGCTATTAATAAGCTATAAGCTCTGTTTGGTAATGTTCCAAAAATAAGCTCCTAGCTTAAAATAAGATCTTATTTTAGAACGCTACCTAATATAGCGTTTCAAAATAAGCTCCTAACTTCCTAACTTTATTTTCATATTTATCCTTATTATTTTAAAAAAAATGACATAATTTACCCTTACCAATTAAAACTCTTTTCTCTTCTTCTTTATCCGCAACTTTCACCGCAAATATTATTATTATTATTATTATTATTATGAGATTTGCAACAATATTGCTACTTCATTATGAGATGATAGATCATGATAATGCTAATAGTTTTATTTCAAAATGTTAAATTTTAATATGTAACAAACTAATTTAAATTGTATGAAAATGTTCTTTTTAGTCTTTTTACATTTATCAGCTTATCAAAAAGTTAATTTTACCAAACATTTTCAATCATAACAGCTAGCTTAACAGCTCTTCAATTTTCAGCTTTGAGCTTATAACTTTTCAGCTTTTAGCTCCTAACTTATAACTTTTCAGCTAGTTTTGCCAAACAGAGTCTTTGTAAATGAAAATTTTAATAAGTTAACCCACTACTATTGTTTGCAACGGTCAAAACTCACAGAACTCAAAACATAGGATTAGCGGTTTCTGTGCCACTATCCTCCATTATTATTTGAATAATCGAGAAGTTGTGGAGTGAGAGTTAACTACATTCGGAGCAGAACACAAACGAGTTCTAATAAACGTATTCCTTCACTTTTACTCTCTGAAATTAATTAATTAATGATGATATATTTTCACATATTTTAAAAAAGTGTTTACATCAAGAATTTATAAGAGTGAATAAAAATTGAGAGTAAAAGCATCCACACCAGTGGTGAATGAGGGGTTAATGTCAGACCATTAAACTTGGGAGGGGATAATAACAAATGTGGGGTAGGATTATTTGGAGAGATATTTGTCCTGCAAGTGAAGAGAAATTTCAGAAGTGGTGAGACCCACCACAAAAAGTCAAAATTTTCACCACTGGTGACAGCCACGCGTGGCATAGTGGGCGCGTGCAGTGCACGCGCCCGCTAGGCGCGTCAGGCGCGCCTGACAGTTACAGTTTATTTTTTTTTTTTTTTAAATTTCATTTTCCTTTTTTTTTTTTTTCCTTTTTTCTCCTCCCCTCCCATCTTCTCTTTCCTAATCACTCTTACATTATCCCCCAATTCTTCCCAACTAATGTGGATGCTCTAAGAGCATCTACACCAAAGCATAATAGGGAGATAATAGTACACTAATATGCACTTCAACTGATGGGAAGCAAAGATAATATCAAAAATAATCCTCCTGCAAATGCCAAGATAATGGCAGAAAAAAGGAAAAAAAAAAAAAAAAAAGAAGGTTCAGCGCGCTTAAGCGCGTTACGCGCAGTTGGGGAGAAAAAGCCGGGCGCGTGCGTTGCACGCGCCCGGAGACGACTGGCGCGCCTGACGCGTCTGTTTACCTTCATTTTTTATTTTAAAATTTTTAATTTTGGTTTTTTTTTTTTCTTTTTTTTTTTCTCCCTTCCCACACCCTCTTTCCTAATCACTCTTACATTATCCCCCAAATCTCCCCAACTGATGTGGATGCTCTAAGAAGTGAGAGATTAGTACACAAACCCCCAAACTGGCGATATGGCCCCACTCCTGTCACATCTCTGCTTTTTATTTTTCTTTTCTTTTCTCTCTCTCCTCTCAACCTCCACCATTCGTGTATATACATGGGGTTTGTGCATTTATCTTGTACAGTGTCAGTGTTCTGCATTTCAATGATTTGACCCAAAAAAGATGTGGTGAATGGGCTCTGCAACTGGAAAATGGAACTGGGTTCTTCTTCTTCTTCTACCTCTACCTCCGCCGACTCCTCATCCGACGGCTTGAAGTTCGGCAAAAAAGTCTACTTTGAAGATGCGGGTGGTGGGAGTGGTGGGTCGTCGCTGCCGGCCAAGAGAGGGAGGAGCGCGGTGGCGCAAGGCGGACAGCCACCCAGGTGCCAGGTGGAAGGGTGCAAGGCAGATCTGAGTGAATTTAAGGCTTATTACTCAAAGCATAAAGTTTGTGGTATGCACTCCAAGTCTCCTAAGGTCATTGTTTCTGGGCTTGAACAGAGATTCTGCCAGCAGTGCAGCAGGTCAGCATATTATAATTTCTTTGCTAATTTGTTTGATTCTGTCCTTAAAGAACCCGAACCAGAAACGTATGTCATTATGATTGAATGAGCAAAATAAAATGCTTTCTTTCCTCGGAGTATTAGTAGCTTCTAGGTAGTGAATTTCCAGGTTTCATCAATTGAGTGAATTTGATCAAGTAAAAAGGAGCTGCCGTAGGCGTTTGGCTGGTCATAATGAGCGTCGTAGGAAGCCCCCACTTGGATCCATATTGTCCACACATTATGGGACTCTTTCTTCTTCAATGTTTGGTTAGTTGATCAAAGACTCATCCATATTCCATACATAATTATGTCCCATAATAGCATTTTCGTTGCATTTGGATCTTTATGCCTGCAATGACAGGAAACAATGGCCACTTTGTGATGGATTTCGCCTCATACCCATATCCGGGTGGTAAGGGCTCATGGCGGCCAAGTACCAATGGCGTGGGGAACTTTCTTCAACAACCATGGCAGAGAAACTCTGAAGATCCCCCACCCAAGCTTCTTTTGCTAGGTTCGGATGCTGCTGCTAGGGCTACTTATCCCAGTCCTTGTGGAGAATACTTCAATGGGGTCTCGGATTCCACCCGTGCTCTCTCTCTTCTGTCAAACTCAAATCAGCCCTGGGGCTCGAGAAACCAACAACCCTCTGGTCTCGGGGTTAATAGCTTACTTAACACTGATGGAACGCTTGCTGTTCATCCATCCGGTTCCCATGCTGCCGTTATCAATGAATTTTCTTCAAGTCCATGGGGTTTTAAAGGCAATCAAGCCACTACCAGCTCAGATAAGATCCTTCCTGATAGTCACTATTCTGGTGAGCTCGAGATGATGGCTCATCAACAAACTGGACGAGCATACATGGGAATGGAGTACTCGACGGGTTATGATTCTTCTGTCCAGAATGTGCACTGGACTCTCTGAATGTTGTTTGAAACACAAGTGTGTTACAAAAGTTTCATCTTTTGTTATGTTGTTAGATACTTGCATTTGCTATTCTGGAGTGTTATTTTGTGCTCTTCTAAGATGACTTTATCTTCCTCTGACTTTCATGAAGCACTAAATAAAGTTGCATTGTGTGTTTGTCTTCAAATTTCTTGTACATTTCAAACTGTATGAGATGATAATCTAAATAGAAACTTTGTATAAAACTATAAGGAAGACAAATTCCAAGGCGGTTTCAACTTCAAAAAGTTAGTAATTAAGAATTACAGTTGATTTACCAGGCAAAAGTAGCTTCAGAGTCCACCCTTCCATGGCTTCATCTGGATTCATTAACCCTTAGAAGCAGGCTTCATATGAATGGTCTAGATCAGACTTGAAACACTCCCTCATTTCATTGCCAAAGAGCCATCATCAGAATTGAGGAGTGAAACAAAAAAGTCTCTAGTGTCCATGGAATGCATCCATGATCCACCCTTCAAGACATTAGAGAGTTCGGGCACCGGTTGTCTAGTGGTCTTCTTCCATTATTCCAGGGCAGTTATCCACAAGTGCTTCCAAAGACTCGTACTGCCAAAAGATCCACATCAACAAAATAAGATGAATAGCTCACAAGCAAAGAAGAAATTCACTTGGATATTTCAACCCCAACTTCCAGATTCACATTCATACAAATGAATCCTTGACTCGCCCTAGAGTTACAACAATACTACTTACCCGACATCCACAGAAGAGACAGTAATGATATTCATCTCTCAATTTCATCAATATCTTCAGCAAATCCTGCTCAAAAAGTTGAACAATAACAACATCCATAGTTAGCAAGCTTAAGCAGAATAGGCAAGTGGTAGATTGAACTAATGACATTGGCTCTTTCAAAATCAAAGCTTCCTAATTGTGCCTGCAGCCATCTGACTGGAAACTTTTGACTAGCCAAAAGAAAACACTTTTGTTGCCCATTTTGACCATAACATGAAGAAATGTTGTAACAGAAAAGAAAAACTGTGCTTAGTCTGTATAAAGATAGTAGAGAAGAAAATACCTCTTCAGTGATGATTTCTTCTTCCTCTTCCTCCTTTTCTCCTTCCTCTTCTTCCTTATCCTCCTCGACAACTTCTCTATTCTCCAACTGAGCTAACACAGCCTCGGCCTTGTGAAAATTGACAACAATCCTCCTTCCCTTCCACCTCTCCTTTTGGCGATGCTCAAACTCTACCAAAAGTTCTTTTTCCTTCATTCTCTCGATTTCAAGTGTCTCTTTTTCTTTCCTTGCCTTCTCTAATCTTGAATCTTCCTTCCCAAGGCCAGCACGGCCCCTTCGAATTTCCAGAGCCACTGGTTCAGCCCTGCCTGAGCCATCCTTGCCTAACGTTGAGCCAGGAACGTAACCCATTTGTTTCAACATTTTGAACCCAATGTTTGATTGCGGAATTGCCGATTCTAAGTTGGACAGAGTTTGTTGATCCTCTTCAACTTGCTTTTGTTGCCGTTTGAGCTTTCTTTGCTCTTGCCAGCTTAGGGGTTTGCGCTTGTTTGTAGAATTTGAAACCACGGGTTCACTGTTAGAAACCTGGAGAGTTAAAGGAGTTTGGAGTTGGGGAGGCAAGGCACAGAGATTTAGATTTGAAAATGCTAAAATCAAAAGAAAAGTTGGCTTCTGATTCCTCATAATCTCAAGGATTTCAACAGAGATGAACAGTAATTGAAGTAAACCAAAACTTTGAAGTATCAAATTTATTTCTGACAGGAACTCTTTTGATTCTCCTATGAAAAGAAAACCAGTCTTTTATAGAAAATCAAAACCGGCATTCCTGTTTTCAGGATTAAGAAATTAGATACCTTTAATTCTAGGGTTTAGATAGTTGAATAATTTCAACACAGAACCCTAATTCTCAATCGCAAACTCGAAACTTCTGAGATCAAAACAACTTTCCTCAACTCCGGAAGCAATTGTTTCCATCAAATTGGGCATAGAATTCTTTTCGAATTGCCAAGAAATATGTAGATGGAATGAATATAAACATATAATGCTGGGAAACAGCCATGTTTAGGAGCTGACCTTTTTAGAAGGTAGAGAGGCTTCTGGAGGTAGAAACTGGGAGAGGTCTCCCATGTAATCTTCTTCTTCTCCTTCCGCCATTGCAGAGAGCTTCTAGTTGGGAGAGGAACTCCAGCGGCTCTGTTAAACAGTTGAAACCCGGACCGGAACGGACCGGCTTTAGCCTTTAAAAAAGAAAAGGGTAAAAACGAAAAGAAAATGGGCACGTGTCTATATAACGGCCTAACCGTCAATCAGCTGACTTGGCTACTGACTCGAAGACCTTCTTCTTCTTCGTCTTCTTCTCTCTCTGCGTCTTGTAAAACCCAGAATCCCCATTTCTATCGCATATCCATATAAACTTGTTTCTTGATACAATTTCTGCATGCGTAAAGTACATCTTCTTTGTAGTATCTGCAACTTCTAAATCACTGAGTTTGATTGATAATGTGTATTGCATTTTGCTGCATTCATTCATCTATTAATGCATGTGTTATGCATTTATGCACACGTGAAGATATGCGTTTAAATGTGTGTTTACATATATGGGCGCGAGTTGTATGTATATATCTCTCTCTCTTTTGTTTTGGAGCCGTTGTTGAAGATTTCGTCCCAGAATTCGATAATTTACTTGATTATTGTGTGATTTTAAGTGTTGAATTTGGATGATTTGTTACAGTGCAATGCTATTCTGATGAATTTTTGTGTGTTTTCAGGTGAAATTGAAGAATCTCGAGTACGTTCACCTTTCATATTATTCCTCAAAATGCAATTCAAATGGTTCTGCGTCATTGAATGTATTTTCATGGCAGTTCTTCTGGCTTTTCAAGCCTGGGCCTACACTGATGACATTGAAGGTACCTGATTGATTCATACAAATTCTTGATATGGGGATTCCAGAATTTGGTTAAATAAGTCTGTGATAAAATTTTGATTTGGGGATTCAAGAATTTGTGAAGTTCTTGAACTGGGATTACTGTTACTTTGCCTTTATCCGACTACTGTATCTTCATTTGTGGCAGCTCAAACTCTGAGAGAGATGTACAGAGCCTTTAACAGCCCACCACAATTGATAAAATGGAGACTTGAGGGCGGTGATCCGTGCGAGGAACTATGGACAGGAGTAGGATGCTCAGGGTCATCAGTGGTTCAAATGTATGTGGTGCAATATAATTTATCTTTCTTGAATATAATTGATTCAGTATCTGGTCAGTTACCATTTTTTCTTCTAAAATATGGCAGTAAACTTGAAGGTTTAAACCTCACTGGTATCTTGGGATTCCAGATTTCCAATCTGCAACACTTGAAGCAGCTGTAAGTTAATCTAGCAGTTCAATACTTAAATCAGATCATCATTATTTATTGATTTCGATACTTGCTGTTTCTTTTGTTTAGGGAGCTTAGTTCCAATAACATTCAAGGCGAAATCCCTTATGAGTTACCTCATAATTTGACACACTTGTAAGATAAACATCCTTGCTTAGTCATTTTGTGAAATGATGCTGGTAAATTTGGATCTAAATATGGTCACTTAACTAATGAGTCTATTTTACCTTCTTATTTTGGAATAAAACTCAGAATTTTGGCATGCAACAATTTCAGCAATAGCATTCCCGGTTCCTTGACTAGTCTGAAACATCTCCAGCAGCTGTAAGCAGATTCTCTACTGGTTGTTTGTTGCTCGTGATTACAAAGTTTAATCAGTAATCTTCTCGCAGGAATCTAAGCCACAACATGTTATCTGGAGCTTTAGGAGATTTTTTTGGCAGCATGGAGAATCTGAAACAGATGTATGGGATTTTATCTGTTTCCCATGATTTGATTATAAATTCAATGCTGAAAACTTGAAGCTAATCAGGAAATAGCAGTATCTGCAAGTGACAATTAAAACTTGATGTCTCAGGGATTTATCACACAATAACTTCACAGGTGATCTACCTAGTTCGTTTAAAGCTCTGAAAAACTTGACGAGCTTGTAAGTCTTCGCTCCTTCTCTTTGATCACAATTGTCCAAACTGTCCTCAGTTTCAAAAGCTAAATTACTGTGAGGTGTTACTGCAGATTCATGCAGAGCAATTCATTCACTGGATCAGTTATTCATTTGTCTGGGCTCTCACTGAAAGACCTGTGAGTTTGTGTATTGTCTCTGAAGTTCTCTGAATTCACATTGTGTTTCTATCCTCACGTATATTTCTACGCCCAGGAATATCCAAGATAATCACTTCAGTGGTGTAATTCCAGAAAATTTTCAAAAGATAAGAAACTTATGGTAAACTATTATTGCATCCTTTTTGTTTGCATTAATTTTACGCATAGAATGTCCTTCAGTCTTTACCTGTGTTTATCTGCAATCAGGATTGGGGGTAATAGATTTGACAGGGGAGGAAACTATTCGCCCTGGAATTTCCCTCTGGATGTGATGCCCAGTGAGAAGAATATCAGTAGTCCACCAACTATGCAGTCAAGTGCCATTAAGAAGAATATCAGTAGTCCACCAACTATGCAGTCAAGCACCACCATTGAGAAGAATTATGCTTCTCATACGAAAGGAGGAGAGTCCAAAGGAAAAAGATCTGGGGCACTCGTTGCTGTGGTAATCGGAGCCTCTCTTTTGGCAATCTGTGCTGCACTCTTCGTTGTTGTTCGGATTCATAGATCTCGCAAGCTGATTCTCATAGGCTCAGTATGCACTGAAAAGTGTATTCATTATCTTACTAAAGGTTAGGTATTATTGAATCCATTTTTGAATTCTGTGCGTATTGAGTTTCAAGTACCGATATTTAAACAGCTTTTCTTGTCTTCTTTGATCCACAGACTGCTCTTCTACAGTTAAAGAAGACAGTCGATACTCATCACAAATGAGCTCTCCACCACTTATATCTTCATGGCAATTACCACCGGTTCCCACCAGAACTATGAAGACGTCCAGAAGGAGCTTTGTCAATACATGCGAAGCTCCAATATGTGCAAAATCCTATACAATATCAGAGCTCCAATTAGCAACAAATAACTTCAGTGAAGAAAACCTTCTTGGAGAGGGATCCCTTGGTTTCGTTTACAGAGCAGAGTTCCCGGATGGACAGGTATACTATTCTATTGTACATAAATCAGCAAAGCAAACTATGAAATTAACTAACTCAACTCGTTGTTTCATCTTACAAGACATTTGCTGTGAAGAATATCAACACGGTAGAATTGTCTCTCCAAGAAGAAGAAAATTTCTTGGATGTAGTTAGGACTGCATCGCGATTGAGGCACTCCAACATTGTAGCGCTCTCTGGCTACTGTGCGGGGTATGGGCAGCACCTTCTTGTGTATGAGTATGTAAGGAGTGTTTCTCTTCAGGATGCTCTGCACGATACTGGATTCGTACCTTTGTCTTGGACTCTCAGACTACGCATTGCACTTGGCACAGCTCGTGCTTTGAAGTAAGTGCTGCACAACATCGAATCCCTTACTTTTAGTGCAATGCCTTGTTGCATAACTGTGTATTCCATGTTTGATTTCAGTTACTTGCATTCCTCCTGTGTGCCTCCGATTGCGCATAACAACCTGAAGGCTGCCAACATCTTACTGGATGAGGATAATAGGCCTAAGATTTCTGACTGTGGATTGGTCAACTTGAGACCCCTGACCACAAACAATGTTAAACTCAAGGTATATGCTTGTGACTTTACAACCTGCTGTGAGAACATTATACTTAATTTCTGTATTTGATAATCACCATCCCCAAGCAGGCTTCTGAGATGGCTATATCTGATAGTGGCTATGTCCCGCCTGAACATGACCAAGGGGGATTTGGGAACACGAAGGCAGACGTGTACGCTTTTGGGGTGATACTTCTTGAACTCCTAACAGGAAGACAGCCATTTGACAGGTTTAGAACAAGCTGGCTTCTGCATATTCTTGATCATTAGCTGCTTCTATCTAAATGATGACAGATTGATTTTGTTGTGAGCATAGCTCAAGGCCGGGAAATGAGCAGTCGTTGGTGGAATGGGCTTCATTCAGGCTTCATGACAAGGGGTGTGTTGCAGAGATGGTCGATCCAGCCATGTCAAGAACAATCCCTTCCAAGACTCTCTCGCGTCTTGCTCACATAATCTCACTCTGTATACAGGTATGTATGTGTAATGGCATTGCATTATAAATGAATGTATTTATCATCTGTGCTACTCTTCCCTACCAACACTAGCTTTGATGGAAACTTAACAGGCTGAGAAGGAGATGCGGCCGGCAATGAGTGAAATGGTGGAGTGGCTGAAGGGTGTGTTAAACAAGCAGCCTGGGGGAGGTAGTAGACAGGTTGCAGAAGCAGGTGAAGTTGAGGGCTATGAGCGATCATTCCGCACCACCTCAAGCTGTTTCTTTGGCTCGCCAAGAGTAGCCTAAACTCATCATCATCATGATCATGATGCTTCTTTTGTGACTAAAATACTCTCTTACAACATATAATTCAGATTTTACTACATATACATATACATATATGATTGTACCGACAATAGAAGTTTCCTTGAGCAAATGTACTGTTTTTAGCAATTCTTGGGTGGATTCTTAATACAATTTAAACAGGTGGTGTCAACACGGTTGAGTGATTATTATTATTATTATTATTATTATGTTATGTACATGAATAGATGCTCCAAGTAATTTTTATACTTAGACCTCACTGGTGCTATTTGCTGAGGCATTTCTTCACAGATCCAAAATGATATTCTTCCAGCACAATATAATCATCTTTGTAGTAGAAATTAGAAAACTTTCAACTGCACCAAATTGGTCTTGGATTTATACAAAAATATGAAATGAACGACTTTCAACTGCACCAAATTGGTCTTGGATTTATACAAAAATATGAAATGAACGAATACACTTAAAAAGAACTGAGTTGGCAGATTTTATCTTAATATTAATCTGCACAACTTATAATGGGATGAAGATGAACTAGTTTCCTAAAGTGTTGTGTAGCACACACACCCTCCCTCCTATGCTACCTTCCACTCCACCACCAAAAATGGCAAAATCTGAAAATGGAAGTTAAGAGTCAAATTTGAAAAACCTTCCTTTCGGTCATGGCAGATCATCACCGCACAATTTCTACTCGCCTTGTAGGCAGTATAGTTGCCGGATATTTCCTGAAGCTGTCAAATTATTTTAAAAAAGTTGGGGTTAGTGGGTTTTAAGAAATTTTTATTGTTATTTTTTATAAGTAAAAGCAGAAAACAATGGAAAAAGAAAATGGCCAATTTAAATTACAAGCATGTGCATATAAAAGAAAACAATGAAAAGGAAACAAGTTACCAATTGCACATTGATACTAGGAAAATGATATAAAAAAGGTAACATGCTAATAATATCACCACCATTACCATATAACCACTCTTTAAAGCATGCATGCAGAGCATTGGCTAATTCTCGTTTCCGGTTGTCTTCAAGCTCAATTTCCTTCAAACTCTGCTTAACCTCAACCAAGTTCTTGTGCTGAAAAGGTCAATAAGGGCAAGCATGATTTAAGGGAAATTGACAATTTGAGTAAGAAAGTGAACAAACTTCAAAGTACAAAGAAGAATTTTATGGAGAAAAGAAAAATTGTGGGATTTTCCTAACAAGAAAGAAACGGCCTAGTTCATACATTTCTCTGCTGAGAAGCCCTGTATGCATCGGGCAACGGAAAAGGGTTGTCTTTTGTCTTCCCAGATGGTTCAGACTCGATCCAGTTAGGAATCTGTGAAAAAAGAAGCATAATATATAACCGTAAAAATAACAAATAAAAGCAGCAGTGAGAATATAAAGAGTTGAGTTCCATGCAACTTATGAAAGCTTTAAGAACACCACAATAACCAACTAAAACTTGGGATTTGGGAATTATAAACCATTTGAGGGAAAACAAGTCTTGTACACCTGAAAGTAGGAACCTACCAAAAAGTTAGTGAATTGATCAGGGTCTAAATGGGTAGCAGATTCAGTTTGGACATCAGAGACACCAGCAGGATGTGAAATCGAATCATGTGGATCAACCACTCCAAGTGTCACAGGTTCATCCCATTTGTTAATGGTAGGGTTAATACCAACTTGCTTCAAGTGCTCTTCCAATTGTGAGTAAAATGTGTTATATGGAACCACCTAATACAGTGATCGACATGAAAAAGAGGTTACACAAGATTGCAAATCTTCTCAGGAAGAAATCAAATGCAAAATAATTAAAAAGGTATAACCATGTACTCCAAGAATTGATCACCACATAATCAATCACATATGATCAAAAGCAAGTCTTGGTGGAATCTAGGCACTTGGCCAAAACCTCATGCAGCATAACAAAACTGACACACCTGCAATTTATGGTTATCACCGACAAGAAGGGGTTGTTGGTTTACTCCCAAGAAAAATACACATTCACGACAATTGGCAATACAGATACGTTTTGCCGCCACAATGACATGTACACGTTCACAGTGCTCAATTCTGACAGCCTGAAAATATAATTGATTGTCAAAAACTTTACATTGATAACATGCACAATAAAAAAGTCCATCAACATAATTTAATGCTACTACTGTACATCAAAAGACATTGTGAACATTATGAAGCTATACTTCATAAACAGCCCAACAGAAATCATACAGACATCAATGTCCTACATTGACATGAGAAATCACAAATGTTTGAAAACTCGGCATAGTATTGAGCATATTTAAAGTATACAGTCGGGTAACTTTTCAATGGTTGAGTGAATGACTATTTCATTACCCAAGCTGGTAAGACATGCAAAATAAACCTTCAGCAGTGATTCTCCTTAATTATCAAATATTCAATTCAGAAATAAGCTATGATACTGCGATATATGAAGAAGAGAACTTCTCAAATCCATAAAGCTACCTTGCCAACAGCTCCAAGAAAGATAGTTGCATCCGAGCATCCATAGACTGTTGCATATCTCAAAGGTGCTAGTATATAAATAGCTGATTCATTGCAATTAATAACCTGCCGAAGATAGAAAAGAACAGCAAAAGGGAAAAAAAACAAAAACAAAAAAAACAAAAACAAAAGGAATGAAAATTCATAAAGTATTTTTTTGTTTGAAAATTGAGTTGTGGTTTGGGCTAAGATTTTTTTTTTGTAATAACCATTAGCCCAAAAGATTAAAAAACCATTAGCCCATTAGCCTAAGATTTTTCCATTTTCTTTAGTTTATACTTATTACATTTATCAATGACCAAAATTAAAATATGGATTGGGCTAGGCCATACCAAACAATAAAAATCTTGGCCTGACTTGGCCCACTAGCCCACATTCCAAAAAAAGAGGTAATTTTTTTCCAAATTCTTTAATTCAGAATTATTATATTTATCAATTAATGTATTTATTTTTATTATAATAACTTACAAGTAAAATTTTATTTATTTACATCTTTTTGTTATAATTATTGTCAATCTTTATAACTATTATAAATTTTAATTTATAATTTTATTTTAATATAAATAATACTCCGTAATTATTATGATCATTAAAATAATTAATAGTTTATGTTTTTTAAAATAAACCAAACAGAAAAAAATACAATTTTCTGAAAAATTAATCATTTTCCGAAAAACAATCCATTAGTCATAGTCTAATTTAAGAGTAATTTCAAATAATTCAGAACTTACTTTTACAGTTGAGCCATTCAGATCATTTGCATGTCTTACATATGATGATTTAGAGATCCCCTCGATATAGTTTGGACCTCGAGAACCTAGAGATGCCTTTGCTGGACTCATACAGACATCAGCCATTGAAATATCCTGATCTGAGGCATTGGTTGGTCCATTTTCCTTGACAGATGCTTTGTCAGTTATCCGTTCCAAAGCAGAAGCAATATTTTGAAGAAGCCAGTCATGAACAAGGGCAGCTGGAACTGGAGCAGCGGGCATGTTGGGATCTGAATTTGCAAAAAATGGAGCATTCTGGCTCAGTGGAATTTTCTCAGATCCTTTTTCCCCAAAATAGAGTAGGTACCCAAGATGATCAAATTTCTCCATTGATAACACCTGGATAATTGATAAGTTAGCATTTCAGAATATGATTAACTTGAGAGGGCACAAATAAAAAATATAACAGCAAGTTATGATGGAAACAAATGAAATTTTACTGTTTTCAAGAATTAAGCTTCAATCAACAACCCAGATATAATGTAGAAAGAATTTTGATTGAACAAGTTTATAGCAGAGACTATAACAAACAGATCTGAACAAGATCCTCCCCTCAACAACAGTGGTTGTGTGGGATGGATGGATAAGAAATGGAAACTTGGGTTTCATATAAGTACATTAGCAGCACATGGCAATATCTTGATGCAGGTCTCAACATCTCTCTAATTTTATCCTTTTCTGTCCTCGAGGTATCGCTGTTTCAAAGTACCAGTGGTTTGCAGGACTGCAGAGAGATCCACTTAATTCTGAAGTATGCATAATAGATCATAAGCCAGAAGCAGAATTAAAACATAAAGTACACATTTCACAAACCAATGATTCTTCTGCCCCTCCTCCAATTGGGTCTGCCAACAGAGAGAGAATGTTGCCCAAGTGTTTCTGTAAGTAGGATAATTGATGAGCCTCTTCATCAGACTGTGACGGCATGAACCTACGACTATTGCTGCGCACTAGCTGCAATCAGTTAAAATCAGTTTATTATGTTAAGTACCTATGTGATTGAAACGCAAAATGTACAACCAAAAGTGCAATATGAACTAGAAATGCAAGTTCAAACCATGTATCAAAAGAAGCAGACACATTCAACTAAATATACAAACAAAAGAACACTACAGACTATCGTGGCAAATCAGATAGCCAAGTAAGGCTTGAAATGAAACACACACATTAAACAAATTTTAAGATAATTACTGCAGATGTGGCTTCAAACCAGAAGAGTTTAAAATTTTAAAGCACAAGAATGTATCTATTAGTGATGTCAACAAGGTAGATCATTCCTCGGATGTACCAAAAAGAAAACAAGGCAAGTCATTAATTCACTTACAATTTTATGCAAATAGATTAGGCCATGGGCCTCTTAAACCAGGTAAAATATTCAAAATTGCCAATTATAGTTAGTCGAAATGCATATCAAACGAATGCAAGCATTAATTAAGCATACATGTTTTTGGAATATCAATCCACATGATAAACGGGAATAGCGTTTCATGGTTATAAAAATAGTAAGGCATATCATATGATTATATTTCTACAAGAAGAAATACTTTCGCGTCCTCCATGCAGAACATCATTTTCATTTTCCAATAAAAAGCAGAGTGATGAATTAACAAAAGCACCATAAATGAAGATGCTTACTTGCATCGGCGACAGGGCAGATAAGAAGCCATCGAAAGCCGAAGTGGAAGGCCAAACATCGGCTACAGCTGCGGAGTCCTTATACCCCCTGGGAAACAACCTCTTGTAGCTCTGGATGTACAAAAACACCACCAAATCGAAGACGTTGACGCCTACGGATTCAATCTCGGAGGGCGTGGCGGTGACGATG